TTTTTTGGGTGTTACTACTTTTCTTCCCAAAGAACGTATATCTTCATCGTCATTATCATTTTCCTCACTATCACTGGAAGAACTACTACTGGCAACTATAATTTTAGTAAACAGCAGTTTTAGTTGTTTAAGCAATTTTTTTTTTTTTAAGCGTTGCTTTGCTCTTTTGCGTTCTGACTTGTTCAATTTGACTTGTTCATTCGATTTGTTTTCAATTAAAGATTTATTTTTAGATATTCTTGAGTGACAAGATTGCTTTTTTTCATTAATTTCTTCATCTGAGTCATTAAGTAGTTCTTCCATGCTCTTTATATCCTTCTTTGAAAAAGATCGTTTTCTCTTTTTTATTACAAGATTTTCTTCAACATTCTGCTGCTTGTCATCCACTAAATTGTAGGGAGAATGCAACTGTTCAACATGTAAAACATTTTTATCAATATCAGATGTCACTAAATCAATTGTCTTTTTATCTTCAGTTATAATGGATTTATCATTAGAAAAATTTCTTCCACTTATATTAAAATCAATTAAGTCATTGGCCTCATTTGCATTTGGTTCATTAAACTGCTTTTCTAAAAAGTTAATAACTTCATAGTTAGTATTTTTATAAGTGTATATTTCTTCGCACTTTTCAATATTTTTTTCTTCACTACAACTTAAAAAACGATCAGAGGCATAAATTTTTTCGACACCATCATTACCTAGGCTACCATTGCTTTCTTTTGCTTTGCTAGAAAATATATTTTTCTTTTCATTTGTATATACATCTATGTCGTCATAGCAAAACATATCATCGTTAATTAAAAAATTTTCTCGTTGCTGTAAACATTTAGCATTAGGAGAATTTAAGATTTCATCAGAAGAATGAATTGTGCCCGCACTTTCAGCAACTGAATTATTTTCGATTCCGATAATACATGAATCTTTCAGAGCATGTAGATTCGAATCTTTTTCAAAAACTTGTAAATACTTGCTCAGTGAGTTTTTATCTGATGGTTCATTTTGAAAACTGTCTTTTTTATATAATTCATTATTTAGTTTAGGTGATACATTTTCAAATGATGTCTCAACTTTTATGCTATCCACTAATTTATCTTCATGTTTATTTGAAAGCTTTGATACGTTTTCTTCTATAGCAAGTGTTATATCAGATTGTTCATTATTTATTGGTATTTCCAATTTTTTTGATTGTTTAATTTGATCTAGCAATAACTGGCTAGATACCTGTGGAAAAGAATTAGGAAATTGGTTCTCTACCTTCATATTTAGAGATTCTGCATTATCATTTTCAACTTCAGTTACCATTGTTTCACACTGAACTGTTTGTAATATCATTTCACTTTTATATTGCATGCCACATTGCCACATGTTTGGAGTGGGAGGTATTAGTTCTTCACTATACATATTTTGAACTGATAACTCCTTTTCAACAACAGAGTTTTCTTTTTTGTTATGATCTAAATTTTCATTGTGGAGAAAATTGCTTGCAGCTAAAGAATGTTCGTATTCAAAACTTTCAGGTTCTAAATTTTCTTTTGAATAAATTTTTCTTTTCTTTCTTTTTCTTTTTCGTAAGTAGTTTTCTCCACCAGATAAACAACTTTCCTGAGTTGAGTTTGAAATTTTAAACAAATTTTCTTGGCTATTGCTTTTGTTACCATGATCAAAATCCTTGACACGATCATTGTCACTACATTTACTTTCGAAGTGCTTTTTTTCACTTTGTTTGTTATCACATTTCAAATTTTCAAAAGAATCTAAGGTTTTAAGCAAATTGTTGTTAATGGATTTATTTTCATTCGATTCAACTATTTTTTCAGGTAATTGTAGTGGATGCCAGTTTTTACGAGTTGACAAATCAATTTTACTAAAGGAACGATTTCCTAAGAGAGTTTTGTCTTTGTTTGGACTTTCAATTTTTGTCAAAAAAAAACTAAAATTGGTTACTAAAGAGTTTTGAAAACTCGAAACAGGGCTATTAGGTAAATTGGTTGGCAAGCTAATAGAATTATTTTCTGTTAGAATTCTTTTTTTCAAACTTAAATCGTTATCAAATAATACATTAAGTAGCAAGCTATTTTTATCACTTTTTGCTGTACCATTAATTAAAACATTTTCACATTGTTTTTCTATTGTCTTGACTGGTATTTCTGTTTTTGGACTATGAACTTTTTGACTTGAAATTTCACCAAAATCTTCATTAGCACAAAGTATAGAATCACTAGGAGTTAAGACATTTTGTTTGCTTTTAGGTAAATTGCATCTAACTGTGTTATCAGTCACCTGATACGCTTCAGTAAATTCAGAATCAATTTTTGCGTAACTGTATGAAGAAATCTCTTTGCTGCAAGAAAGTTGTGTTTGTCTTAATATAGAAGTTTCTTTAAGATCGTCACTAATTGGTTGTGATGACTCAACCTCAGTTGCATCATCGTCTATTAGGTTCAAATCAGTTTGAACAGATTCATAATTCAGAGGATGATTAATTGTGTTAGAAGTGGAATCTTCAAGAAATAAATTTTTTAAATATTCAGAACTTTCATTACAGTTAAGATATTCAAAATCTTTTTTTGGAATATGTTCCACAAGTTTTTCATCGTTATCATTTAAAGATGCTTTATTAGAAATTGGTACTAAAGGATTTTCTGAGGTTACTGAAGCAACAATTATAGCATCATTATTGTTTGAAGCAGAAATTATTCTTCTTCTTTTAAAAGAATTTTGATCAGAAATATTTTGAAACTCATATTCTAATGAACCCGAAGAATCAGAAGAACTTTTAATTTTTTTCCTTCTTTTCTCTTTATTATTCAACCTACTAATGTAAAAAAACAGTATACTTAAAAAACTATAACAATTACAGTTTAATTTATAAATTACTATTGATATTTTAAAAAATTTAATAAATGCAATAATAAAAATTACATTCTTTATTTTAACTGTTTACTAATTTATAAGAAAATTTTGATTGGTACCTGCATTTGTTGTGCTTGTTTGTTTTCTCTAGGAAGAAATTGCATTGCATAATTTTTTTGATTTGAAAATAACACATTTAAAAAATTTAAAACATTAAATTCAACCTTTACCTGATTCGATAAAATAGTTATCTGGTTCAATGTCATCTGGTTTATCTGGTTCAATGTCATCTGGTTCAATGATATGGTCTGGTTTATCTGATTTAATAATGATATTTTTAGAGGTTGTGCTTGTGAATTCAAGACTATAAAAGAAAAAAAAATTTAAGAAATAAAAATTACATTCAAAATAAAACAAAAGCAAAAAGATCTGGAAGTTATTATCAAAAAAATAAGAAATTGATAAATTTTTGTTTAAAACAAGTTTAAATTTTTATATCTATTTATAAAAAACATTTGAATAAATTTAAAAATTTAACAAAAAATATTAGATAAGTATTACTACATTATTATAATATAAATAATGTAATGCATGTACCATAAAATTTGAGACTGGCTTTAAACTTCAATAAAAACTTAAATAAACATGATAAAAAATATACATAGAATAATATATGCAAAATGAGGGAAAAAAAAAAAAAAACAAGACTCCATAATGTCAAACTTGGTCAAGTCTGATATTGATACCTTGTACCAACTTTTGTACAGCATTTAGGTCAAGTCTTCCAATAACAAATTTCTCTAGGCTTAATTTGTAGACCATTCATCCTTGTACAAAAGGATGAATGGTCACACATTCCACTTAGGCGTTGCCAAAAAATCCTCTATAGCATCAGCTTCTAAAAAGTTTTTTTTTAAACAAATGGTGTCATCTGGGTTTTCAACCAATTTGTTACTAAATTATCATAGTGAATGTTGCCAAACCGGGCTAAAATGTGCACTTGGTGTCTTAATATTTATTAACAAAAGGTTGCAAGCACTTTTTTAAACACTCATTTAAATAGATCTCTTGGTTTATCGCTTGGCCAGAAGGAATAATGTAAATTGGTGTGACCTCTTGTGGGGAGACTTTGAAAAGTCATGTCTGGTATCAAATTTTGATCATTTGAATATTTATTATAACCAGCCAGTGTGCTATTCTTCAAAGCAAAGTAAAACTCATCATTAATAACAAACTCGTGGTCACAATACTTTGAATAAAGTTGACTTTTTTGGCAACCCCAAAACCTCTGTTACAGAGTTCTCTCTGATCTTTTGAACAATGAATAGGCTTTTTAAAGCATTTAAAGATTAGTTTAATGGTACTTTTACTACAACCAAGTTTTCTAGCAGCCTTTGAAAAGGATATACTTCTTTGATGGTTAAACATTTTTCTTAATTTAATGTGGTTGTTTTGTGTATTAAAAGTCTTTTGTGTATTAAAAGCCTTCTTTCACTTCCAGGTTTTTAACTCTATGGTTTATTTTGATTGTAACTGTTCATATAAACTGTTCATATAACTTTAAACTGTAGCTTTAGAGTAGCCTTCCATCTTTAAATGGTTCGAAACAACATGCTTTCCATCTTCATTTTTTTTTTGATAAAAATCGTACACATCACTTTTTAGGGCTTACTGATTTGGCATTTTAAATTGTTATTTAAACCAAAAATAACCAGACAATTTATATACTACTAAGATTTGAGATTTCTAGTTAAAATAATTTTTTTTTAGAATTTTATTGTAAGTTAAAAACATATAAAAAGAAACACTTGTATGGCTTTTTACAAGTCTTTGAGTATATTTAGTAAATTTATATCTTAATAAGATACTAAATACTAATTATTTTATCTAACTTATTAATTAATTATCGCTAAGCTTGTCTCAAATTTTATGACACAGGTATTAATCCAACACATCATTATAAATCTAGGGCTCAAATTAAGCATATTGCAATTGCTTTTCGCACCTTTGCAATGAGTTTTTTCTTAAAAAATATATTTTCATGATTTGTTTGTTTTTTTTGGTTGTTTATATGCTTTTTTTTTAGTTAAGCATTTTTTTGGCAATTCTTAAAAGTAATGTTTTTGTCATAAAGCACATTTTTTAAATTTAAATTACTTTAAATCTCTTCGTGGAAGCAATAATAAATAAATTATTTTTAAAAGGTCATTAAAGCAATAAGTTGAAAAGGAAAAAGACATTAAAATGAATTTTTTCTTCATTCTTTTTTTTTAACAAAACAGCCTGGTTTTTATCTTTGTTTTTCAAAATGTTGCACCAAATTAACTTATTAATAATTTAAATTACTATTTTATCAACTATTTTATATTATTAATTTTACTACTTTAAGTATATTAAAATATATATTAATTCGTTTTAACAATTTTTTTTTTCTAATAGTTATTCCTTGCTAATAGAAACCAGCAACTTTTTTGCTTCAACATTTCTAAGCATGTTCTTAAACTTAAGGAAATATAATTCAATTTACTAAACCAATTTTTTTTGTTGCACTTTTTATTGGAAAACAATTGAAATAAAAAAATTGAATGAAAAAAATTAAAAACTTAATTATACTTTTATTAGTCCTCTAGAAACAATAAATTATAAAAAGTCGAATCTACTTTTTTTTTTCTTTGATCTTACTCGTGTGGTCTATATATTATAGACTCGTATGGTCTATGGGCATGTTTTTGCGCAAATTTCAAGTTTTATGATGATAATTTTATAATTTATTAATTAAAACAATTTCATTTATTTGCTTCATTTTATTTTAAATGCGTTTTATGTTTAAGGTTATAAACTGTATAAAATAACAACAAAACAGCATCACAAAGTTGTTTTACATTACTTTACAGTCGTTTTACACAAGCTATTTATATTTTTAAAACAACTTTGCAATTTGTTTTATTGTTGTTTTATAGCTTTTTACAATAACAATTTAATACTCTTTAAAAATAACAAGTATTTTATTGTCAGCATGTTGTATTAAATTGTTTTCTATGACTAATTAAAGTGGTTTAAATATTGTATAGTTTACTTTTTACTCTTAGTTTTTTACTTTTAGTAAAAGTAAAAAGCAAGTAGTGCTCATTTGATCGTGTTTGACACGGAGCCCTTGGCAGCCATTGCAATTGAGGTAGTGGTGAGAAAGAGTTGCAGCACTTTTATAAGAAAACGAATTATAAGAAAACGTTTTATAAGAAAACGAATGTGTATGCAAATATCTAACGCACATAAACTTAAGTAATATTAAAACATAATAAAATATTTATCAAGTTTTATAGTTTCATTTTCACTTGAAAATTGCATTGAGTCAAGCTCTCCTTAACTTTGAACTACAGCATTTCTTTCCGCTCAAAAAATCATTACACAGTTTTAGAAATTTTTGTTTAACAATGAGCCAGTGTGGCCAAGCGTGCTGAGCTTCTGAACAAGAAAGCCGTGGTTCGAGTCCTACCACTGGCAACTTTTTTTTTTTAATTTTTTTTAATTTTAAAATACAAAATACTTTTGAAGTTTTATAGAGATTATATAAAAACATATGTAACAATATTATACACTTTAACGAACAAAAAGATTTTAAAAAAGCTAAAATTTCTAAAAACATCAAAACACTGGGAGAAAAAATTTGTTGCATATGCGTCATGATTGAGATACTTACATTTTTAATGTGCTCAGGTAATTAGTCCTAATAAGCTGCGGATGGTCTGAAAAAAAAGTTGTTTGAAATTTAATAAAAAAAAACTTTTTAAGACAGTCCTGCTACTCCAGAAATTGCTGTTGTGTAGGCAAAAAATTTTTTTCTAGCCTGTAGCTAGAAAAAAATTTTAAACTTTCTTTTGACAAGTTTTTTTTGCTACATTTTTTTTTTTACTATAAATATAAGCTGCAGTCGTTTTTCAAAACGCCTTAATATGTTTATTACGTATTTAGAGAAAACGCAATTAAAAAAATTATTAAAAAAAAATTAAAAATGAACTCTTTGTAAAATATTTTTTAAAACATTTATATCAGAACTCTTTAAAAATATGTATTTAATAACATTTGTAGACATTTAACTAGCTTATTTTGTAAAAAAGTCAAAATTAATATTTTTTACTTTAAGGTGTTTTGAAAAATGGCTGCAGTATGGATGGTAAAACGAATATGTTGAAATGAGATAATTTGACCCAAAATTTAAAAGCTCTTAACAAAAGCCACTAAACCAAAAAATTAAAAGTAATTGCAGTTCAGTGCACATAAAAATTTTAATATGTGTTGGTGCTTGCAAAGAAACATTATGTAAACCATTTTTTAATTTTAATATAACTAATTTTTTTTAAACTTTGTTGCACCTAACCATCCCTATATAAACAATGTATATATAAACGTTATTTGTTTATATATATTGTTTATGTAATATAAAAAATCCAATTATATAATGTTTTATTCAGGATCGTATGTAATATAAGTAAACTTTCCTAATAACTAGAAGTCTTTTTTGCTCAAGCTGTTTTGTTTTGATTTTTTGTAGTTATGTTTTCTATTTAAAAAAATTGACAAGATTGAAAAACCACAAAACATATTGTCACATCCTTTAAAAATGATAGTCATAGAAATAAAATTTTATTTCAATTTTTTAAAAAATCTCTTTCTATTAAAGATATATGGAATGTATTTTTATGGGATATATTCTAATAAAGACAAAAACTATTTATTTATTACTATTGTAATAAATACAATCTCTTATCCGTGAAAATGATATATCTGTACCAGTTTTATATATTTTTATACATTTGCATGCAACATAATTAAAATTAATCAAAAAATGTAAGATAAATGCAAAAGGAAACTTGATGCATAAAGGTTTATTTTGCCACAAACTGACATCAATGTGCAAAATTTTTTTGGCTTCATAATCATAAGAATAAATTTTTTTTATGACTATGTTTAAGTGCTCTAAAATGTGAAATCGTTTTAGTTCTATTTGTATAACGTCATGTGCAAACGTCTGTAAGTGTAAATGTCTTTAGCATATGTTGAGTTTGCAGGCATTATATGGAATAATCGTGTATATCTATATATCTATAAAATGAGAAAACTTTAAAATTTTATTTTAAATTTTTTTTAATCTTATATTTTAATTTTAATTTTATTTTATTTTAAGTTTTAGAAATCTTTTTTGCTATATTATTATTTTTTTGCTATTAATATATAAGCAAGTGTGAAAAAATATTAAAACTTATTATGCCAAGAGGAGATCTTAAACCCTCCAAAACAATACTTAACCACTGAGTGCAACACTTAACCACTGAGCGCACTTAACCACTGACTATCAATGAAATGCGTTAAGCAGAAAAACAAACCTAATTATAAGTCTCTATAATGTATGAGGAAAAGGTACGCATGTTAAGTTGTTTGGTCTCAAAGTTTTTTTTCAGAATAAATTCTTTTACTAAAAAATATTGAAGTAAATAAGGAATAGGTGTAGAAATAATTGGTGAGGAATAGATACTTAAATCAGTTTGGAATAGATTTACAAAAGCCTGCATTTTTATGGGTCTGATCTCAGCTCGTAAGAATATTTAAACAACCCGCTCCCCGCCCCCATTACTGCAAAGCAGCTCGCAATATGAGGGGTGGTTACAAAAAAAAAAATTTTCATGATTAGGCTTTTTTGCATTAATTCGAGCCCTGAAATCCATTTTTTTTTTTTTTTCAAAGATCAATTCTGGTAGTTAAGACAAGCAAAAAATATATCAAACAAAAACTTTACACACCTTTTTTTATAACTTTTAGTAATAGTTATACCCTAAAAATAAAATAAAAAACATTACAAACAACTAATAGTTGTCTAAACAAAAAGCACAAACATTCAAAAAAAAGAACTTTATACATAAGAATCTTTTTTAACTTTTTAATGTTAATCTTTAATAGCAAAAATTTAGAAAAAAATTCAACAATTCAATTCTTTAAATAAATTTTTCTTGAGTTTACTAGAATTTTTTTTTTGGAGAAAGAGTGGGGCTGGGGAGTACTTATAACACAAAAACCAATATTACTTTGAATCTTTATTTTAAAATGTATACTATAACCTTTTTAGCTGAAAATTTTTTGTGAGTTTGTGAAAGAAGGGGTGATACATCTAAAATAAAAATAAAATAAAATAAAAACTTGGAGAAAAAAAATATATGAAAAATACTGAAACAATATAAACAAAAAACCTGGAGAAAAAACAACAAAACTGAAAAAGTATAAACCAAAAACTTAAACAAAATATGTTTTGAATGATTTGTTATGTTATTTATTTTTTATGAAAATATGTTTTAGGATGGTTTTTTAAAGTATAAAATTTTAAACTTGTATTATGTATCTTGATTAAAAAATTATTTTTTGCTAAAAAAAAATACAACTTCTAGAAAAACTTGTAAAAATTTTTATTAAAGACTTTTTTCTGCAATAAAATCTAAATAACTTCATGGAAAACACTACATACATAAAAATGATATTATTTTTATTTAAAGGGGGGTTTATGCCATCCATATACATATATATATATATATATATATATATATATATATATATATATATATATATATATATACACTTACTAAAGTGTGTTTTGATAAGCATTTGCTCATTTTTTCTGCTTACCTTAAGCCATACTTTTTTTTTCGAAAAAGAAGAAGAAAAAACAAAGAATGATGAATAAAACAATTGCTTCCCCATCCCAAACCCTCAGTCGATGTAGCAGCACTCCACTGCGAGTCAGGCTATTTGTCAGTCGATGTATGTACTGAAGCCCCCAGCAGCAGGCTATTTCAGTATAACGTCAGATTGCTTACCTTTGTACGCAATACTATTTGTATATATATATATATATATATATATATATATATATATATATATATATATATATATATATTTTGTGATCATTTTTTTATCCTTTTTAAAAGAATAACTTTCTTGAGAAATAACACCTATTTATTATTGCAAGAAATCAATGTAAAAAGATGCTGTCTGATGTTAAGCCCCATTATTGCCTGTTCCCCCATTATTGCCTGTTCACTAAATCTTGTACTTTATCTCAAAACCTAAATTCTTGGTCCTATTTTGTTTCTTATTTACATTATTGATCTTCCTGACAAACTTGCATCTAAAGTAGCTCTATTTGCTGACAACTCAAATTTAGGCTTTTTTCAATTTATTAAATACTGGGATATAATTATATATTTTCAAACTCTAATTTATTTCCAACAAGATTGCAAGCAACCACTATTAAGTCATGAGTTACTTTAAAATAGAGAATGAGTAAAAATACTTGGAAATGGTTAACTGAAGATTTGAAAAGTTGTAGGTTGTATATTAAAGAAAAACATGAAGATGGCTAATAGTTATAAGGTTTTTTTAATGAGCAAGAAAAAAAGCTAGATTAATAAAAGTTTTTATGTAACTTGTTGAATAAGAAGCCAAGTAAGAATGAGTTTTGGTTTATCGTAATAGAGGAGATAGCTTGTTTGAGCATTAACCATGATTGTATTTGTAGAAAAAAAGAAAGAAATGCAACCTTACAACAATGGGAAAGTGGCTCAAGCTTGGTAAATAAAGCAGGTCTAATTTATTATTTTTTTTTTTTTAATGTTAATTCATTTCCCCAAGGTGAAAATGCCACTAAAGATAACGAGGTTACTTAATTGTGGTTATAATCCACTCTGAACTATATAACTCCAATACTTGAACCTTGACAACCAAGGCCGCTGCACAGAAAAACAGTTTGAGTGCAGTACTGCCAGTGGACGTGGTGGTGATTGGTGATACCTCTCACTTATGATGTGAGCGCTCAACCACTACACTGCATCCACTTTACATTTATAATGTGCTTTTAGACTTTGTCTGAGAGTTAGAGGGTTGTTAGTCATCAATATAGGAACACTAACATTATTGTAATATTTTTGGCAGTAAAATGAGTTTTGTTGTCCAACAAAAATTGCAGATTTAAAATTCAGAATTTAAATCCATAGGCCACAGCAAGCCTCTCAAGAAAGCAAGCCTGAAGCTGTTACAGAAGAGAGATCAGATTAAAAATCAGCTGCTTGTTCTAAGCAATCAAAAAGTGAAGATTTTTTGTCAAGACAAGAGTATAAAATTGATTCTTTAACAAATAGAGCCACTTTAAATGTAAAATTTCCATGAAGATTGATTTTATAGATAAGAAACAATACAGGAAAAAATATTGAAGCAGGGGTGTGGTGTCGTAAAAAAAAAGTAACGACTCCGACTCCAATTGTTGAAATTTTTTAAGTACAACTCCGACTCTGACTCCAGTTGTTAAAATTTTTTCATTACAACTCTGACTCCTACTCCAACTACAACTCCAAAGCAAAATATTTGAAAAATTCTTTGAATTTTTTGAAAAGTATTACGCGATAAGTTAAAAAAAATTTTTTTTTGAAACATTCTTTGAGGTTTAGTATGAACATAAGGTTAATTGAATGTTTTGTACATGCACGTGCAATACTGAGAAGTTTTACTATTGGAGTCGGAATCGCAATTTTGTTTAGCGACTCCGACTCACAATGTCGCAACTCCGCAACTCCGACTCCACAGCCCTGAATTGAATTGTACCACAAGGTATCTTGTGGTACCCTCAAGATACCTTGTGGTGTACTCAAAGTTACTTGAAATAAAGAAGAGTGTAGAAATTTAAGAATAACTTTATTACTGCAGTTAGTAATAAATAATTTAATAACCTCAAAATCTTTATATAAAGAAACTAATAACAGAGTGAAAACATATCTTCAGATAATTGGAGAGAGGCCAAAGTATTTTCTGAAGTTTTGAAAAATTAGAACCACTTATTTAGCTTAGATTTACTTTAGATAATGACATTGTTGAAGACTAGAACCCAAGTCTCTAGAAACCAATATCTGATACAAGATACAAGATTTAGTAAACTGAGAATAACAGAGCCTAATATCAGACTGGACCTTTTTTACATTGGCTTCTAGGAATAATAAAAGGACATTTGTTCTTAAGAGAGGTGCTTTTGTAAAAAAGATGAAATAAATAAAAGCAACTGCTCAAGATGGTGAAAAATATGGAGTAGAATGAGGTTTGACTTAAAATTGAAGAATAGGAATAAAAGCTTCAAAAGTTTTAGTCCAGAAGGAATAAAAACTTCTGAGATGCGCTTTATGCATACATATTATGGACTAACATATATGTTTGCTATTTATTTAGATGTTGGCATACAATATCTTTTCATATTTATATAAACTTTAGTATTTATATGGTGTAGTATTTACCGAAAGAGAAGAAGATGATGACGATGACAATGGTTATGATGATTATGATGATCATGTTGATCATAATGATGTTTATACATACATATATATACAAAATACAACATGAATTTCGAATTAAAAAATATACTTTAGAATAAATAAATGTTTATGCAGCCCTGGCCCCGGCTATACTTTATCAAACCCGGCCCTGGTCAAATATCAACCCCAGTCGTTTATTAAACTCATTTTATACTCCTGTCTTGAAAAAAAAAATTCTTTTTTTGATCGCTTAACATCTTTCCAATCTGTAACAGATTGAGGCTTGCAGTGATTGGTAAATTTTAACACCAACAAAACTCAGTTATTTACTGCAAATAACTATCAAAATACTGTCAACATTCCTATATTATTGAATGGCAACCTTACACTTCAAAATGTACTCTAAGTTCCATATAATATTTTCTAATAAGAGTCCTTTTAGATGAGGTTGATTGTGAATTTCACAAGGTTTGAATTCTTTTAATATTTATAAAAAAGATAAAAAATATATATATATATATATTATTGATTTAATTATATAACCATATGACTCAATATTTTAAAAATACCATTATTTATTGATGCTATATAATGCATTAAAAACAATATTTTGCCTACTTTTTCGAAGTGTGATTTGTAAAGTAGAGAATGTACTAATTGGATTAGAGCTATTATACTACACTAAAAGCGAAAATCTGTTCATTACTACTATTTGCTATGTCATTTATTGAACTTGATTTGAGATCTTGCATATTGAAAAAAAAAAAAATGGTTTCAAATTGGAAAAAAAAGTTGCTCTTATTCTGAAGGACATGTCATGAAGGACATGTCATGAAGGACATGCCATGAAGGACATGTCATGAAGGACATGTGAATTTCTGAAGGACATGTCATGAAGGACATGTCATGAAGGACATGTGAATTTCTGAAGGACATGTCATGAAGGACATGTGAATTTCTGAAGGACATGTCATGAAGGACATGTCATGAAGGACATGTCATGAAGGACATGTCATGAAGGACATGTGAATTTCTGAAGGACATGTCATGAAGGACATGTGAATTTCTGAAGGACATATCATGAAGGACATGTGAATTTCTGAAGGACATGTGAATTTCTGAAGGACATGTGAATTTCCGAAGGACATGTGAATTTCTGAAGGATATGTGAATTTCTGAAGGACATGTGAATTTCTGAAGGACATGTGAATTTCTGAAGGACATGTGAATTTCTGAAGGACATTTTTTAAGTTAACTTTGCAATGTCAATTAATGTTCTGAGCAATATGGAGTCATATTAGCCTGTAGATTCTATTATTGGGGATACAAGAGTTCAAAATCAATAAATAAATTTTAATCAAAAAACAGTTACACCAGTTACTTAAACAACAAACTAAAAATAAAACAAACTAAAGTATTTACAAAACAAAAAAATAAATAAAATCATGCTGCCACATTCTCCCCTATACATATGCATTTGTGTGTGTGCATGTGTGTGTGTGTGTGCGTGTGGTGTGTGTGTGTGTGTGTGCGTGTGGTGTGTGTGTGTGTGTGTGTGTGTGTGTGTGTGTGTGTGTGTGTGTGTGTGTGTGTGTGTGTGTGTGTGTGTGTGTGTGTGTGTGTGTGTGTAATAATAATAACAAATAACCTAAATTTGTGCAATCTTTATCTGCTGCATTACAAACATCTTTTACTGCTGCAATTATCTTTGACAATTCTGGATTAGGATTTAAACTTCTATAAATAAAGAAAAATAAAGAAAATAAAGAAAAATAACCTATATTAAAGTTCAATTATAAACATTTTCTTGTTTATTTTTAAAATTTTTTCATTTATTTTAAAATTATCTTTTCTTTTTACTATATTTTCATCTGGTACTATTTTATAAAATACACTTTAAATGGGACTTGACAATAAGGTAAAATTTATCTATCGCTCGTCCAATCATTTTGTTACATTAAAAAATTCTTTAACAGCAAAATAAACTTAACTAAACTAATGGAGGATTTTTTTAAGGTTCTCCAAACTTTTTATTTTAAAGCAGTTTTTATTTTATTTCTATTTTCTGTCTTTTAGTTCTACAAAACATGGTTTAAATTTTTTCAACAATTACATTCAACACTAGCACAATTAGATTCAACACATGCAAAATCAGATTCAACACATGCACAATCAGATAAGTTGTAAAGTTTGTATCTTGAAACGCAAAGTTCAGATATCTTCAAAACTTTTTTCATTACATTTTTAAAGTATGATTTACAAAACGATGCAAAGCATTGCCTTCTTCTCAAGATCTTTATTTTAAACTATTCTCAATATTCTTATAGTATTCTCAATTAAATCCTGGATCTTCTTGACTCGATGCATGGGTTTTGCTTGTGTCTCTGCTTTTATGACTAGGCAACTCATTTTATTATCTCCTGAGGGTACAGCTCTTAAAACTCAGTTTTAAGAGCTGGTAGAGGCCGGCTGGTAGTCAGGTTTCCCGAACTGTGGGGTAGCTCTCAGAGGGGCTGATTCCATCAACAGCTGAAAAATATCAAAGTATCAACAGTGCCATGTTGCACATGGATGGTATTCCTCTTTGAGCTTTTGGTGTGCATTGCCAAGGCCAGAATGGAGCCCTTTGTTACAGCTTAGGGTTTATTAATAGTAATGAGGCAATTGCTTGGGCTATTAAGCAGTGTACTGAGCACTGTCTATGTTTTGAGTCAAGTTCTTTAACAAATTAAAAAATGAATAAAGTAACAAAAACTATAAAACACAAAAAACCATCGTCATCACCAAGTTCTATAAATCATTCACTAATTTCCGTGGTCTTCAAAGTAACTTTTTTTCTGTTGAGTCTTATCTCTTGCAAAGTTCACCAGACCTACTTGCTCTTTGTGAGACTAATTTGAGTTCAGCTGTCTCATCTTGTGATCTTAGTTTTGATGGTTATCTTCCTTTAAATCATAAAGACTCCAATAGCCACATGCTTGGCCTGGGCATTAATATTCGTAAGAATTTACCCATTTGTCTGGAAACTAGGTTTGAATCTAAAGACTACTCTTTTATGTGCTTTCATTTAGCACCACTTTACTCTATCACCTTTCTCTTTGTTCTATATTGATCTCCTTCATTTCAAGACTGCACTCTTCTTGATGTTATATCTGATCAAATTGACCAAGCCCTCTCTCTTTATCCATCAGCCAATACTGTTGTTGTCGGTGACTTTAACGTTCATCACACTGAATGGCTTGGCTCTAGTGTCAGTGACTCTGCTGGCATTTAGACCCACAACTTTTGCCTTTGCCAATCCCTAACTCAAATAGTCAACTTTCCAACTCGCTTTCCAGACAACCCGAATCATTTACCTTCTCTACTCAACTTTTATCTTCTTTCTGATCCTAGTCAGTGCACAGTTTCTACACACTCACCCTTAGATGCTTCTGATCACAGTTTGATCTCTCTAAAACTATTATCTCCTTCTTTATCATCAGAATCCCTCTATCATCGTACATCTTACAACTACCTTAAAGCTGACTGGGACTCTTTCCATGATTTTCTTGATGATGGCCCTTGGGTAGATAACTTTCGTCTTCCAGTTGACAAATGTGCTTCTTACATAACTTCGTGTATTCAGGCTGGCATGGAATCCTTTATTCTCTCTCAACGATTCCAGGTCAAGCCTCACTCTTCTCCATGGTTTTCCTCACATTGTGCTGCTGCAATTGCCAATTGAAACCATTACTTCCATATCTATCAGCAAAACAATTCTCCAGAAAACAGATGTCTGTCTATTACTGCTAGAAACCATTGTAAAAAGGTTTTGCTTAACGCCAAAGCCCGCTATTCTCAGGTCATAAAATCTCATATTTCATCACAAAAAATAGGCTCTTGTGACTTCTGGAGAATCTTTAATAGTATCGATAATAAGGGCCAATCTGCAATTACAACTATCTTCTATGGTTCAGACTTTGTCACCTCACCTAAAGACAAAGCTGAATTGTTTGCTAAAAACTTTTCATCAATATAATTTCTTGATTCCACTAGTTGTGTTCTACCTGATATAGCCACCAAATAGGTTGATCCATTGCTTGACATTCATATCACTCCAGCTTCTATATCTAAAGTGATTTCCTGCTTAGACCAATAGGTTTTATCTTGCATTAGATAAAGGTGGAGAGGTTAAGGTCATCGCTCTTGACATTTCTAAAGCATTTGATAAAGTTTGGCATGCTGGTCTTCTCCATAAGCTTTCTTCTTACGGTGTATCTGCAAACATCTTTAACATTATTGAATCCTTCCTTTCCAATCATAGTATAAAAGTTGTCCTTGATGGACAGCACTCTTCTTCTTATTTTGTAACCTCAGGGGTTCCTCAAGGTTCAATCCTTAGCCCTATACTCTTTTTAATTTATATTAACGATCTTTCAAATATTCTCACATCTGTGGCATTGTTTGCTGATGATACTACCATTTATTCTTATCACGATAAGAAGCCAACACTCTCTGGTTGCTTGGAGGGGGCATTTAAGCTTGAAAAGGATCTCACTTCTACTACATCATGGGGCTCACAGTGGCTGGTGATTTTTGATTCAGATAAAACTCAATTTTTTTCAGCCAGTCGTTATCGCAATAATTTAGTCCTTCCTATATTTATGAATGGTAATGTATTTGATGAATCATCTACCCTTCATCTTCTAGGATTAACTCTTACTTCCGATCTTTCTTGGAAACCATATATCAAATCTGTTGCAAAATTAGCATCTGCTAAAGTTGCACCTCTTTATCAAGCTCGACACTTTTTTACTTCGTAATATATTCTTTATCTCAATAAATCTTAAATCGGGCCTTGTATGGAATACTGTTGTCATATCTGGGGCTGATCTTCTAATGATGCCCTTTCTCTTTTAGCAAAGGTGCAAAAACGCATTGTAAACATAGTTGGACATGCTCTTGCAGTCAACATTTAACCATTATCACATCATCACTTCTCTTTCTCTTTTCTACAAATACTACAATGGGCATTGCTCTAAAGAGCTAGCATCTCTTGTTCCATCTACTAAAATTCATTCTCGTGTTACTCGTCATTAAAGTCTCATCCTTTTTCTGTGATTGTTCCTAAGTGCTCCAAAAACTCTTATTCCTCTAGTTTTTTTCCTTATCAGTTCTTTGGGATTTGCTTCCTTCATCTTGCTTTCCTGAATCATATAATTTGCAATCTTTTAAGTCATCTGTCAAACTGTATCTTGCTCTACAATCTTCATCTTTTCTCTTCCAGTAACTTCCAACTCTAATTAGTGGTTGCTTGCAGCTTTATTTTTTTATTTCTTTGGTTGGAACAGAATAGAATAGGTTAAAATGTTCTATGTGTTTATACACACACACACACACACACACACACACACACACACACACACACACACACACACACACACACACACACATAACCATCATTAAAAAGTTGCCATATTTGATAAAACCTACTTTCTTATAAAAATTTGCATTATCAATTAATGTATAATTAATGAATAATTTGCATTATTAATGAATAATTTGTTTTATTAACTATTTCTCTATGTCAAAACAAGTTCACTTTATGTTTTATTTTTATTAGTTTAGTCTTAACAAAGAAATACAAAAAAATCTGGCACCCAAACATTTGATCTTCTTTCTGTTTTCTTTTCAACCCAACAATTATTCAGATATGTTTTATTATTTTATATGTTAGCTTGTTATTTTTTGCAGAAGGCAAAGTAACAATGATTAGTTACAGAGAAATAACAAGAAGATAAAAAATTTCAGAAAATCAGAAATACTTTGAAAACATATAAACTGAAAAACAGCATACAACATCATGCAGGACCCAGAAGATTAAAAAAACTAAGAAATACAATGTCTTTCATTTCATTAAGAGCCAATACATTTAACAAAATCTAATAAAAACATCTTTGCTTTTATTAGTTTTTGTGGCAAAAGTATTGGTGGTTATGCAGCTGTTAGAAAACCTAATCAAATGGCCAGTGATTGGCTCAAAAAAGGTGCTGGAAGGAAAAAATTGGATAGTCTTTGGAAAAGTATAACTAATTTTCAGTGATAACTTTAAAGCAAGTTCTTGATAAAAGATTTTATTCTGAAAAGTATAGTTAAGCTTTTGTAATAAGATTGCAAGGTGACTGTGGGTATTTTGGATTTTGGGCATTGCCTCACTGTTTCCAGCTACTAAAGATTAGAACTTTTTAAATTATTTTGGTTAACAAGACTAAAATATGTGAACAAAAATCTGTATTATCAAATTATCAAGTAAATTTTTTTATTAATTATAAGTAAATTCTTGAACTCAAAATTTAGGTATTAGAAATTTCTTAATTTAAGACTTGAAGTCTCTAATTAAAGACTTAAAGACTCAAGTAAGATGGCTGATCCTATAAAAGACTTAAAGACTCAAGTAAGATGGCTGATCCTATAAAAGACTTAAAGACTCAAGTAAGATGGCTGATCCTATAAAAGACTTAAAGACTCAAGTAAGACTGATTGATAATTAGGAATCTCTAGAGCTTTTTAAAATAAGGGAAGCAAGAGTACTTATTTAACAAGTTAAATTAAAGAAAATTTTGGAAAACACTTTTGTAAGACTGTGGATAGAACTAGAACACAATCTAATATACAATTACCAAGGTCAAGGATTCTCTGATTTCTTTATGCTCTAATTATTCAGTGGTTAATTATAATAACAAAAATAAATTATTTGA